TGTCTAGATGTCCCCCCAAAAGCTCATGCAGCCATAGGTGGCTTTTTCAGAGGTGGCTGAGTCTACAGTGTGTGATGTAAGGATTGATTCATGGTGCAATGCTAGGCTCAGAGGCACTAGGATTAAGGGTGTGAGTGTTACCCAACTAAGTACTCTGGACAACATAAAAAGGGCAGAAAGATGCTGTTAAGGTACCTTATTGCTTTGCTGCCTTAGGTCTGCCATAAACTGTGGCCCCTCTGCCATGTGCCACCCTGCCTTGGAGCCAGCTGATTATGGACTGAGGCTTCTACAAACTCTACACGCTAAATAAACCTTTCCCCCTTTGAACTTTGGGTGTTGGGTATTTTGTCTCAGCAATGAGAACAGTAATGAAGACATGGGGCATCATGAATTTTCAAAGATCTTCTACAGTATAAGAAGCTTCAGAAACAGGCCCATGATGCGGAGCTCAACACTTCATAAGTTCCCTGGCATAGGCTCCTGCTGTGACTGGGTGAAAGAGGTCCCCAGGCTAAGAGTCAAGAGTCCCTGGGGCAATACTAACCATTTTTAATCCAGATCCTTCAGAACTAGGTGTCTCCATTTGGGAAAACACAAGAAAGCCGGAACCTAACAACCCTTCTTTTCCCCGGGGATTTTTAGTCACATCAAATAATTCACACTCACATCTCCATTACCATCACAGGATTATACTGAGCTCTCAAAAGTATAAGAACAAGTCTGCCTCTTCAAAGGTTCTTCAAAACCTAACTTTCCTCAGTACCCTCTGCTCTTGGAACACGAGGGAAGTCACTAAAAGCCCAAATAGCATTATATATACATATACAGATATCTACCTATGGATGTACATATCTTTACATGTATATGAATATGTATGAATGAGGGATGGACTGAAGAAGAGAATGAGACTATTGATAAGAAGGTAAGAAAGTGGGATTAATGAAGATTCATTTTTAGGTCAATGTCACCATTCTTTTCAGAGAGCACAGCACGTGTCCTTAGAAAGCAGCAGACTAAAAGAGAACAGTATAAGCAGCTCTTATCTCTTGGCACTAATCTTACTTGGCTCTAGAAGATGTATTACACCTTCAGTCCAAATACCTGCAAAAAGGAATGAAGTGTCACGCCAGCAAACTCTGAGCTAAGTGATGACTAAAATAATTCTAAAACCAAAAAGAATAGTGAGTACATTGTATTTACTACATGCTAGGATTTTAAACCATTAAAACATTACATCGTTCAGTGACTAAAATGACTAGGTAAGCCAGGTGCTGAAGGCACACGTCTGTAGTCCCAGCTATGCTGCAGGCTGCGGCAGGAGGACTTCAAGTTCCAGGCCAGCTTGAGCAATTACTGAGACCATGTTTCAAAGTTGGTTTTTTTTTGGTACCCGGGACCAAACTCGGGTCCTTGAGCTTGCGCAACAGGCGACAAAACCACTGAGCTAAATCCCCAGCCCTCAAACTTTTAAAAGGGGATACAGATGTACCTCAGTGGCAAGTGTGAGGCTCTGGATTCAATCCCCAATATGGAATAAGAAACAGAAACAAAGAGGTGAAGTAGGTGCAAGTAAAATGTCCCATTTTACCGATAAAGAAATTGACATTTTTAAAGTGGCCTTGCCCACAGCCCCTCAGCTACTAAGAGGGAGGAGCTGGAATGAGAATCCGGTCAGGATAGCTGCGAAGTCTGCAATCTCAATCACTACACTACAGTGTTGCTCCAGAACATCAGCCTTCAATTCAGAGGCTATTTTTTATTTTTGTCCTCTCCAGTCTTGTCCTTAATAGCTTTAATATGTATTCAAGTCTCAGGAATATTTTACTAGACCTATTAGAGCCCAAAGCAGAAGTCCCTTTTTCTCCTTTTCCTCCGTGTCCACAATGATACTTGAAGGTGAACCACATCCAGCTGTTAGGATGAGTGGGCCCTGGAAAGCCACAGCATATGGCAGATGGTTTGTCATACTTTGTTGAAGGGATTATAGTCTCGGTTTGATCATCTCCTGAGGAGAAGTAGTATGAGAATGACTGTGAATGGCAGAAGGGGCTGGAGATGAAACAGAATAAAAATGTTTTCTCTTATTCACCAAAGACCCACTTATATCACTTCTATCTTTCTGCTCTGAAGAATCTGAGTGATATTCTATCACTGGATATCTTTTGGTATCCAAGTTTGAATACTAGGTGTCTATAACTTATACTTGAAGCAAGTTATGGAAAAAAGTTCTTATTCACTAAAGCACTCAACTCTGCTGAGGTTATCTGAGAAAGCAACGGAGACTATTACTGTAAACTATAAAAAATGCACAATGTTCCTCTCTCTTTTCAACGTACTCTAAGGCAAAGTAGAAGCAAACTTTTAACTGAATTCTCTGAATTAAAGTCCTGAAGCAAATTTCTCATACACTTAAATTTGTTATGGTCTATTTTCTCTTAACCATTTCTGTTTAGAGAAAGCAGAATGTGGTTTATGCTTTCACTTTACTATGGAATAATTGTCAATTTTAAGGGACAAAGACCCCTCTCAGCAGTTTGTGATCCCTGAGGACAGATGTATATGTTGCCTGGCCTTTTCTCCAAGTCCCACACCACCTGGTGATCACACAGAGGACTGTCAATACTGCAACTACACAACCACACAGAATGAGTTATACATCCAGGTATGACTTCTGGTCCAAAGGAATCAAACAGACATGAATCCAAATGTAACTTTTGATCCAAAGAAACCTAAAGGCAGTAAGACCATCATGTAACAATAAAAGCCTCTGTTCAACCAATGAAAAAAAATTTAAGCATTTTTACATTGAATCTAGTAGTTGCTTTACATTTTTATGAAGAAGCAAAATTAAATAATCTTCCCTCTTTCCCCATTAAAAAAATGACATGCATGTCTGTAATTGTTTAGGTTAGAAAAGATGTACAGAGAGAATAAGATTACCGAAAAGCCTGTAAAATGATAGCAAACATTTTTGTTTACTTGTGTATATGCATCTGTATGGTATGTGTATAACTGTACTTACCCCACAATTCAAATAAATATTTCACTCAATAATCTATCTCACTAGCAGATAGTTACTGAATAGGGAAAAGGAAGAAGGAGGAAAAGAAGAAAAGAACCAAAAAGAAAACCAGAGAGCAAAAAATGAAAGGAAAAGAAACAATGGGAGAAAAGAAGGAAGAGGGAGGAAAGGAGGAAGAAAGAGACAGGACTATCCCACAAAACAGTGAAATAAAACAAAAATGGCTTTAAAAATCTTTCCTTATTGAAATTCACAATAAAAACCATTACTACTCCCATCTTGGATAAGTGGCTGAGGTTTACTCTGGAGGGGAGTTAATACTTCACCAGATGATTTCCATGCTAAACGCCACTATCATTTTCAGAGTCAATGGACTGTCATCTTCCCACAGTAAAGAGTAGCATAGGACATATTTTCCCCTGAGGTTTTTAAACACAATCCCAATTGCACAACTCCAGCAAATCATAAGGCAAATTCCTAGCAGGGTAAATGAAAGCACGTGCATTTAACCAAGGTGAACAGCAGCCACTGGACTGTACATTAACTACACTTGGATTTAGACAGCTCCATCAAACATGCTCTAAATCTACCCAATAATTTACCTACTACCATAAGCCTACTATGAAAAACTAACAGCTTCATTATGAAAAGTTTCCTGCCAATTTTCATTTGTGATGTAAGTTGATAAAAGCCTCACAAATGCTCTGAGAGACTCCATCCTAATACCACTAGACTGGAAAAAGACTTGTTAACACCAGGTAGCCTCGATAAAGGGTATCTAACATATTTATCAAGGCACAATCTTGCACCTTTGACTTCCCCTTCCCATTTGAATTTGTAGAATCAGAAAAGGCAGCATTTACTCTACAAACAAACAATCTAAAAATATCTTCTTTACATAGTAAACTGAAGCGTTTCTTCCTGTTTATTCATAATGTTATCTTTTTAACTAGCTGAAATTAAGGTCAGTAAGATACAGAATCTGGTAACACCATCTTGAATGTTTTCTTTCATTTTCCTTAGTATGTTTATCTTTTCACATCTAGTAGAACTCTATAGTTTAAAAGTTAGTTCTGGGAGAATAGGTCAGCAGTACAGCACTTGCTTAGCACATGAGTCCCTTGAGTTAATCCCCACCACTTCAAAAATAAATAAAAGTTCCATACAATTCATTAAAAGACTTATCCTTCAACAGTATATTTCCATATTATAGCATGATTCAGATGTGTCACTTAGCAAGTTCATTCAGAGACTGGTCCCAAAAGAAACCTGTATGCATACTAAGTTTTAAAGAGAACGACAGAATCAAATAATCTGTAAAAATCTATTCAACACACATATCTTACCCTACAACTTGTAAAGTATTCATAGTCATTACCAATCATTATTTTGTGTTTGATCAAATGCACATCTCATTTATAATGCTGCAGAATGAAAGAATTTCAAAGTTGATTTTGTCTCCTTGAAAACAATCTGATGAAAAACATGCTGATTGTTGCCAATAATAAAGCCAACTGCAAATAACTCAGGCATTCTACAATTACTGAGAATTTAATTTAATCTATTTCCAGACACAATCTGAGTGGCTCTGGGAGTGCAGAACAACACTGTCAGAACTGCTTCCATTACCGTCTGCCAATGTTGCTTTGTTTCCAGAGTGAATATGCCTTTGTGACCGTTCACAAGTTCTAACCGTCTGCTTCCATAGAAAAATTTTTCACTAACCACTCATATCACCAACTACTCCAAATCCAGTTATCATCTCACTTTTATTGATTACACTGTGGATCTTTAGGAACTATTAACTGAAGAATGTAATTGTAGTCTGAAGCATCAGGAACAAAACCCAGTAAAAACATCCAATAAAACCGAAAACAAAAAGTAAAATACTTAAGTGCTCCTTATCTTAAGATTAAGAAGTAATCAGTAAATATAAATATGAACATACTTTACAAATCAATAATCCAGTGCTTACTTTTAGCAGATCCTTAGAGAAATCAACACCCTCATTTACCCCTTGGAGATTTGCAATGAACTCTTGGCAGGTCATCTTCTTTCCAATATTCTAGAAGAGAGGCAAATAATACATCATAATGACATTTACAGAATTAAGATTAAGTCTTAAATATGTCATTAAGCAGAGCAGTAATTGATTTGGTTGTTGAAAACATGAATACAAATGTGTGTGTGTATATATATACATACATTTTAATGTATAAGAAAACATATGGCATATTATGCTTTTAAAACTGTCATTATATATAAATAGCAAAATTATACCAAACCTTTATTTTAACTTAGGAAAAAATGAAAAAAAATGCATGCTACATTTATATAAATACGCAATGCAGTTTCAATTAGAAGCATGGATAAAAATGGCATTTCTGAGCTGAACTCTGATAGCTATTTATATTTCCTACATATTGTCAACAACTGAGAAGTATGAGATTTACTTTCCTTTCAAGTTAACAAGAAGTTAGTCTGCTGTGGATGCTGTCAGAAGGTATAAATCTCCTGGGGAGACACAAGAATACTTCTAATAATAAAACAGCCAGAATATCAGCATTATCCTGATCCAGTTCCCTAAGCACCAATTCTCACAGCCCTTGAATAAGGCCAAATGTCACCTGCACCACAGGCAAGACACCCTAAACTTCTGGAAGCACCAGCTTTGATAATGAGCAGGAAGTATGTCTACTACTTCACTCAAGACTAAAGAAAGGCACTAGTTCTGTCTTCCAGAACAATGAGGAAACTTGGCCATTGTTCTGAAGTCACTGCATCCTTCAAAACTGTTCACTATAGAAATAAATCTTAAACAGATAAAGAAGCAAGGTAACCAAAGCCTTTGCTCATAAACTGTACCAGAAAATCAAGAGGCTCACAGGGAAGTAACTCCGAGCGTCATTTCGAGCTGATTTAAGGATAATAAAGTTTAATCTAAGAACATTACATTAATGTACAAAATGTAATTAGAACACTTAAACTATAAAAAGGAAAAAGCCATATAAATACAGTGATTAAGAAACTAATAAAATTGCTACCACAGAGAATCATGTCCAATGCCAGGTCGAAGCAACTAGTTCAAGCTGCAGTTGTGAAAGACACTGAGGTCCAATCCGGACACTAAGAGAAGTTTGTCACCTGCAGGCCAGGGATGGAGAACAGATAGTGGCGTAGGCATTGGCAAGACATGGTCCAAGTGCGTAAAATTGTACGAACATATTAACTGATATATCTGTACACAATATCTTTACAAATAAATACATGCTTCCCAAGGCTATTTTATTCATTCCTACACGACTAAGAGCAGCATGCTCCTGGAGATAAAGACTTTTAAAAGGATGTAGTTACTGATGGTTTTAAGGGAGTAGTATAGAGAACCTCAACTTCAAAAGTGCAGAACTGCCTGAGAGTGTACTCCTGGTGTGCCTTAGGAGTAATTGCTTTGCAGTTTCCCTTTCACAGCTGCCTTTCTCCTACTTAACAAAACAACTCATCCCACCCAGACTATCCAAATATTTACAGTGAAAGTGCTAAATATTATTTCTGTTAAAAAAATCATGCTTCTTCCATCCACAAGGAAGGTACAGATTTTATATCAAAGGCTGGATGAATGGCTTGATACTGAGAATTGATTTTGTCAATTAATTGTTTGTTAGATATTTCCCATAAATTAAACCTGCAGTACCAATGTTCTGATGAATGTTTATTTAAAGCACCGAATGGAACCTAATGAAAAATATTGTTTTTGCATCGGCATACTGAAAAAGACAAAAATTCAATTTTCCCAATCCTTTTCAAGTGTATCAGCTGAAACATGGTGACTCAAGGTAAAAAGTAATAAGTATAATCAAGTCATCTTGATATGACTTGGCAAGAACTTTTTGAATATGTTCCAAGGATTTGGGAAAATGAATGAATAATCACTTGATAACAAATTCCTCTCCAATTCTTAGCTTTTAAGAAAATTAAAAACAACCTAACTTAATCATCAGTTAATCATCAAAATATTTTTGATATATAAACTGAAAATTTAAATGCTTATCACATTATCTGGTTTTCAATTCAATGTTAATAATAATCATTAAATGTAAACCATTCTAGCAGAAAATGTTTTTACTACATAAAAAAATAAAAACAAAAAAAAAAATTAAATGAACAAAAGAGACTTCCAAGTATACAAGCATAACACACAAAAATAAACTTTTATGTAAAATCAGACTAAATATATTAGCACAAGGAGAAAAAAATGAAAGAAAATATTGACTCCTCTGATGGATCTAGGCAAAATAAATTGAAAACCTCTGGAAACTGTTCACCACTCTAGATGTCACTAGGAACATTTGTGACTCAGGGAGGAGATTAAAATTTTGACATTAACAGGAATTTGGAAAAAGCTGACTGCAGCCCTCATGGAGGACTGTGAGGGACTCAAGACCTCAGTGGAGGAGGCATCTGCAGATACAGCAAAACTAGCAAGAGAACAAGAAGTGGAGTCTGAAGGTGAACTGCTATCACCTCAGGATAAAGCTTTAACAAACAGAGGAATCGCTTCCTATGATAGAACAAAGAAAGTGGTTAACAGTTTAATAGGTTAACAGCTTAGTCTCACAAAACTGGCTTCTCCCCCATCACTTCAAATGCCAATTGCCAAGAAGTAGGTTGTCACCTACACTTCTGGCTGACCAAGTATAAACAGGGGTTCCCATGACTCCCTCCTTAGGTTTGATTAATTTGCAGGATGACTCAGAGAACTCAAGAAAATGCCTCCTCTTATAAAGAATACTATAAAGAGAACACATGAATAATGAGATAAGGAAATGCAAGAGCAAAGTCTGAAAGAGTCCCCAATACAGTGGCTTCGGTCCCTGTAGAGGTGCCTACCCTTCTGACATGTAGCTGTGTTTGCCATCTTGGAATCTCTACCCATTGTCCTGGTAGGTTTTACATAGGTTTCATTATATATGCATGACTGATAAATCCCTGGCCCTTGGCAGTAAGTCAACCTTCAGACACTCTTCCCTTCCCAAGGTGGGATGTGTGTGTGGAGGGAGAGCTGAACTGCCACTCTCTCCTCTAACGGTTGGTTCTCTTGGCAACCTGCCCCATCCTGAACCTATCTGGTAGTCAACAAGGAATTGCTGCTTAGAATAAAAGATGTTCCAGTGTGAGGTGGAATCTCACACCAGAAAGAATGGCTGCTATCATGAAATCAACCAATAACAAATACTGGCAAAGTTGTGGGGAGAAAGGAACCTTTCTCCATTGCTGGTGGGAGCACAGACTGGTGCAACCACTGTGGAAGTCAGTAAGGAGATTCCTCAAAGAACTAGGACTGGAAGTCACATTACACCTAGCTATTCCTCTGCTGGGGATCTTCCCCAAAGAATTAAAAGACTCATACTACAGTGATATATGTGCACCCATGTTTATAGTGGCACAGTTTGTAACAGCTAAAGCTTGGAAACAGCCCAATGGCCCACCAACTGGAGACTGGATAAAGAAGATGTGGGGTGTTTTTTGTTTGTTTGTTTCTTGTTTTTGTTTTTTTTTTGGTACTGGGGATGGAACTTGGGTCCTTGCGCTTGTGAGGCAGGTGGTCAAACCACTGAGCTAAATCCCCAGCCCAAGATGTGTTTTTTTCAATAAAATGGAGTACTACTCAGCCATAAAGAATGAGAAACTGGAGACATCTGTAGCTAAGTGGATGCACACTGAGGCTATACTATACTCAAGTGAAATAAATAGGACACATGTGTAAATACCAAATAGTTTCTCTGGTGTGAAAAACTAAAAGTGTAAATAAGAATCAAAATGTATAACTGCTATCATGAAATAGGAAGACAATGTCTAAAGGAGTAGGGGAAGTGGGAGGAGTAGGGGAAAGGAAAGAATATGAGAAAAGGAAAAATATGGAAACAAAGTCTTTGTAAATAGGGAAGGGTGGAGGGGGTGGGTGAAGGGAGGGCAGGGGAATGGGGAAAAAAATAAGAACCAAGATACATCATGTAAAGGTACAAGATCCCAATGATGAATATAACTGTACTGTATACCTAAAATGTACCAATAAACTAAATGGAACAAAAAAAAGTAAAAGATGTTCCCATCACCCAGGAAACCTGAAGGGATTTGGAGCTGTGTGTTAGAAACTGGGGTCAAAGATTATAAGATTCTTCTAGGGTCCCTATCTACAAAGATGAAACTACAAAGGTTTCTTTGTCCAGGGGCAGAAACCACGATGATACTTCTCATTTTATTACAATATCCTGGAGTGCCTATATTGATTACAATTATTACACCTTCTTGGAGTGACCCTTTTATTATTATTATAAAATGTCCTACTTTGCAATTAAAAAAATTTGTCTTAAAGTCTGTTTTGTTGCTGTCAGTACAGCTATTCTAGCACCCTTTTGGGTACTAGTACAATCCCAGTACTGTTCCAGTAGGGATGGACACAGCACATCTTTCTCCACTCCATTACTGTCAACATTTATGTCTGTGAATCTAAAGTGTGCTTCCTACAAAAAACACAGAATGGATTGTTTTTAATCTATTTTAATAATCTCTTTAAGACCAACATCTGGCCTTCTACAAGGACAGCTTTTATTGGCTTGCTATCTTTTACTGTGGATGGGCCATACTTTCTGTTCTTTGCAAGTCTCATCTTTTTTTGTTGTTGATGGTGTTCAAGACTAGATTGTGGGTATTGTGTGGCAGTTCTGTAATTGGATTCCTCCCCTCCCCTAGGCATTTGCCACTCATTTGTGTAGTGGCTTTTCCTGAACTAACTCCTAGCATTTAAAGAAATCTCTATCCAGTCATTAGCTGGCTACTGAGTTCACTGAGAAGAAACTCAAAAACCACATAGGGCAAAGAACAGACTTTGCCAAGTGGCTCTGGGTGCTTGTGGAAGCATATCTTCAAATGCTCCGGAGGCAGCTTGCCACTGTCTTAGCCTCAACTTCCTGCATTTGCAATTGGCTAGAAGTGAAGCTTAGAGTCTCATGGGTCCCTGGGGGAGGCACACAAAGCCTTTTACGTGACCAGACTATGTCCCAGCTC